ATTTTTGATATGGTTTCTAACCCCAGCTCTTCCCCTTAGTTTTAAAGGTCGAATATTCCAGGGGAATTTTCTTTCTTTTTTCTTATCAGCATCCACCCTACAGGAAATGTGTCCATTCAATTTTTTCTGGATAAAAATATTATTTGTGAAATATTTTTTTTTTTAATCTTTTTGTATCCCTTTCTGCAATCGAATCGCTTTATGCGAGGGTTTTTCTTTCCTCAGTTTCGGGGTAAACCTCAATTCTTTTTGGCGGATCATGCTGGAAAGTGTTTAAAAATAGCTCCCGGGGTTAAAACTATCCTTTTTTGGGGTTTTTTGGAAAGACAGAACGTTTGTTTGAAAATTTTTTTCCCTCTGCTTTCAGATTTATAGGTGGGGAAAGGGGTTCCTCTACAGACGTATATTTTGTGGGGAACAAATGATGTCTAATAATTTCTGTATGAAATATCTCAGCCTTGGAAAAGGGGAAAAATGTAGGGTATTTAGAAATATAGACCGTTTCTTACAAATAAATCTTCCAAGAGTACATGTTCATTTTAACGTAAACAAATCTGAAATAATCTCCTTAAAAAGTTTAAAGTAAAAAATATAAATTTAAAAAAATTGTATGTTTGGGGGTTGGAGAGGAAGTTTTTCAAATTCCTTCTTTTAGTCCTAATTCCTACTCTCTCCCTATATATGTTTATATATGTATATACGTTGTTCAAATTTTTAATCGTTAAGAAAATACTTTCTATTCTTTCATTTAAGTTTAAATACAATTTTTAAAAATTATAGTGGATGAAACTCTTGATATTTTAATTTTTTTTTCAAATATTAATTCATTAGGTAAACTAAAAAATAAATAAATAGAAACAAACAGAAGTAATAGTCCAAAAGCATGTATAGAAAGGAAAATTGTTCGTTATGTCCCAGTAGCGCAATGAATAGCGCGTTGGGCTTCAAATCCAAAGGCAGAGGGTTGAAATCCCTCCTGGTATGGCCTAATTTAGGAGAATGTAATTTCTTTTTACTATACTATGTTATTGGAATAATTAAATTTATTTAATGAATAAATAGTAACAAACTAAAAAGACAAGTCCAACAACCTATATAGAAAGGAAAATGGAAAAATACAAGGAAAATCGCGCGTAAGTTACGTAAAATACTAAAGTTTAATGCCACGCTCCTCTGAACAGATGCTGAATGCGTATAAATAGAGGGCTGCAGTGGGACGTTGAAAATAGTTAATGATGATTTGTTAGTTTCAAAAGTTTAGTGAGACCTAAGTATGCCTCAATGACGAATGAAGGTGAAATTTCAACAACTTACGGAGTTTGAATGGGGGAAAATTTAAAAGGCTTTTAAAAGGGGAGGTTTTTCCCTATCCAATATGTCTCTTCAGCGGAACGTTACAGTAATAAGTTTGGAACGGTAGACAGACGATCACCGCAACTCGAAGCTCGAAGTGGACGACGGAAGGTGACGATCGTAACCTGTTAAAGGCAGTGAATGATATTAGTTTCCTGGCGTTGGCAGAATGTTGGTCTACTTTCGGTTATAAAGTTCTTCTTCAATTTGTCGACCTCCCCCCGTGGATTGCATAAAAGGGTGCCTTTATACGGACCCCTCTCGGCAAACCATCGCGTCTACGTCTGCAATGAGCTCTTGAGCCCAGAGCCGGGAGGCTGATTGAAAAGTTGTTTTTTTCGGTGAATAACTCTTCAATTTGAGGTCCCTTTCTTGGTCTGCTTATTCGCCTAATATGTCGCCTATTGAGCATGTGTGGGATTTGGTTGGTCGGCGTCTCGCTCGCGATCCGCATCCTGCAGCTTCAAAAGACCAACTTTTGCTGGGCATACAAGCAGTCTGGAATTCTCTTCCACAAGCAGACATTTAAAATCTGTTTGACTCCATGCCACGTCGTATAGCAACACTTATTGCAGCGAGTGGTGGCGACACCAAATACTGGTTTCGGACATTTAATATTGTTTTTTTTTCTTTGAAAACTTCGTCTTTTATTTGTTCTAATACATGTCATTTGTGCATTAAATTTCATCAATTTCTAATGATTCCTTCAAGGTGTTGCATTTTTTACAAACATGAATTTAGTAATAACGCTGCAGTTATTCGTATTCGTTATTGAGAATATATGTAAAATTACCCAAACAATTCTTGGACTCGAAAAGAAAAAAATTCCTAATAAAATTTACCATCTTAAATAAAAGTTTATTTTTTTTCAACTTTTTTAATGTCACAAATCATATTTCTAAATACAGATGAATTATTTTTTGTTTTCATGAAAAACGTTTCTTTTTAAGAATTTGTGTGCAAGAAAATAAATCAAAATAAAATTTTTTTGGTGCTTTTTTCTTTTTTTTAAATTTAAATGATAAATTTAAATTCATCCCATTTTTATGCTATTTTTTCCACTTCTTTTTCATGATAGAAAAAAATGGAATGCCCCATTATGAAAAGAATAATCATCTCTCTCTCCATTACCTAAATCTAATATTTCTATTTAAAAAAAGTATTCATCAAAAGAGAAAATTTTAAGTATTCCCCACACACACACAAACACAGTATTTGAAAATTTTCCCTAAATATAATAATGTTCCATGCTGTTTTTTAAAAAGGTTATCTGAAAAAAATGTAAATCAACATGCTTCTTTTTTTTCCCCTTTTTAAAAAAATTCTGTCAATCAAGAAAATCCCAAAAATAAATAATTCTTCTAACAACTTTAAATTTTTTTTTAAAATATTTTTTAAAAAAATAAAAAAAATAAGATAAAATTTTCAAAAAAAAAATTTAAGAATGTTCCATTCATATTTTAAAATTGAAAAGTTTATGTACCTTTTTCCGGAAACTGCTTATTTTTTTAATGGATAAAACTTGAAAAATATATTTACGTGCACTATCAGTGAAATTAGAAATCTTTTGTTTTTAAAAATTTAAAATAATTATGAATTTTTTTAAAAAATGCAATTTTTTCGCTAAAATTTAGTTTAAAAAACCTTATCTATAAAAAAAATTTGCTAGATGTATCTAATCATCTCCATTAAAATGTGTCAACATGTTAAAAAAAATACTCATTGTGTGTGTGTGTGTGTGTGTGTGTGTGTTTGTGTGTGTGTGTGGGGAAAATTTAGGGTTATATAATAAGTTGTTTTCAAAAAAAGCCCGTAAAGTGAAAAAAAAATTACATTTGAGGAAAAACAGGCTTTAAAGTAAAAATTCGTAACTTTTGAGCATTAACTTATTTTTTTTTTTTCGAAGCATATGGGGGCTGTGTTGCCCAGTGGTCTAGGGATCGGATCATGGCAGGCATGTTATGGATTTCGGACCCAGTACCCTAAAGAACCGCCTTGGGGGTGATGGATGCCGAAATCTTCGGAACTAAACGCTCCCGTTGAAGTGAAGTGGTAGTTAAAATACCAGGTTGTTATCATCGTCCTTTGAATTTTCAAAGGGGGGTGTCTTGAAAGCCCTCGTGGCAACGGGGGTTTTATTCACTACTTTTAGTTTTGCATTTACCTTTTTTCCCGAAATCTTAAGATGGATAAAAATTTAAACGAAGAAGGAATTTTTTTTTCTTTGAACATCGTTACGATGGTATTCAGGAACTCAGTGGTCCCCTGGGGCCTTTTAATGGCGGGCATACCCTTCTCCTGGGGAAAATTCAAGTTGAAGAATGTTTAAAAAATTTTTGGGAAATTTTCGAAAAAAATCAAAATTTAAATTTTTGGCGGAATCATTAGGGAAAAATTGTATTTTTTTTTTCATTTTTAAGGTTATTTATAAAACAACAACAAAGATGCGGAATTTTAGGACGGGAACTAATTTTTTAAAAATTTCATCCTTGAAGCGAAAAATTTGAACGTTTTGGGTTCATGTTTTTACAAAAAAAAAAACTGGATCATATTTAAATTTTTTCGAAAGTGTTTTGGGATTTAAAATTTGGGGAAAGGAAAATTAATAATTCCCTGATTCTTTAAAGAAAATTTATTGTATTTTTACCACAGCAACAAAATATTTTTTTTTTTCACAAAAAAGGAACAGACAAGAATTTGTTACATTTTTTCCCAAAAAACCCTTTTAAAAATTTAAAGGGGTTTCTGAAATTTTTTTTTATTTTTACAAAATAAAAAAACAAAACCTTAAAACAAAAATATGTTCCACATGATTTTAAATTTTTGATTAAATTTTAAAAAAAAATTAAAATATGTTGGGGAAAAAATTTTCTATCGAATATTATATCTTTAATGAAAATTTTATTATTTTTAAAAGGGTAATGAATTTTTATCAAAAAAATTTTTCTTGTTCACTTTTGGGGGAAACAGTGGGAAAATAGACAAAAAGGGAATTTTGGTATATCATTTTTTCTAAAAGGGTTAAAATTAAAGTTTCTTCATTTTGTATTTTTACCATATACCAAATTTTTTTGTGGTTTATCTTTTTAAAAAATTCATCCTTATATTTTATTATTAATTTACTTGAATGGATGTTTTGGGGAAATTTTCTCTTCAATAATTATATCTTTAATGAAATTTTTATTTTGGAATTTTAATTAGGATTTTTTTAGTCGAGAAAACTTTTTTAATCACAATTAAAAATATTACATTGACAGCGACTGGAATTAACCTCAAAGTATGAAAAAGATACGCACTAAAATATTGAATTCGAATAATTACTCATATTTTCTTAAGAATGTTGAACTTTGTCAGACACGCTTAACAGTAAACATAATTATTAATATAGTTTACACATATAAATTAACCTCAGATTTCTTACACAACTACTTTATCGTAGGTTTATCCTAAATAAGAATTCGAATCTTTTGAAATACTAACTTTAATAATATAAAAAAAATGACTAGACATGGACCTCGATGCGAGGTTAGCGACCACGCGCTCTCATTGGTCAAATCAAATTGTTCGCGCTTACGTCACTTCCTGTTAGAAACTTCCGTCCCTTTTGACGAATTCACTCCGACAAAATTCAGCAATCGAGAGGAAAGATGATAAAAAAAGTATAAAAAAATAATAATTAAAAGAAGCAAAACAGGAGTTATAATATTTTGATCCATTTTCCACATTTTAAATTTCCAATGTTATCTTGATCTTAAAGCATTTCCCCCCACGTTTAAAACATGTTGCGGCCCGTGTGAAATAGCTAAGATTTGTGTGCGGCCCGCGTGATATGGCTGACATATGTATGTGGCCCATCAGAAAAAAAGATTGAGTACCCCTGCTCTAGATGTATGATTCTTCATTGAATCAATCGGTTATTTAAAATCCAATCTTTAGAACCATAGAAAATAAAAAGACATCGTATGCGGATATAAAATTCAATTCCACTTTTAAAGAATAGTTTTTAAGTTATTTATTTTCCTCATATTATCCAATGCACACGGATCAAAGAAAGTCAGGAAAACCCCTTTTGTATTAACTGCGGGGGGCTACGGTCATTCGGCATGTTATACAAAATGTCCCAATTCCCACAACCAAAAAAAGGTGCCCTTCGTTGACCCAATAAAAAGAAAAATTTCGCCAGTAAATGGATTAAAAAAGAATTTCTTTCGCTAACATTGTTAGTGGAGAAATCTATCAAACCCCACTAATAATGAAAATAAAAATGATAACAGAAAGAAGATTCCCCGTGGATTCCTTAGCCAAGAAAATGATACCTCTGACTTAATACAAGTTCTGGAACTTTTTAATGTCATTTCAAACCTAGTAAAAGAAAAATCCTAAAATTCTCGATCTTCTCTCTAAATTTAAAATGCAAATTCGGACGAAGAAAAACCTGCCTACTAGCAGAAGCTCTCATGGATAAAGTTTAATCTCATATTATTTTAACCTTTAAATTCCCTCCTAATTATTTTCTCTTTATAATAGTCGTCTTTAAAATAATAAACTAAAATTAGAATAATTCTTCGAAGTAAAAGCTAGTGCAGTTTAAAAGCTCACTTCAACCTCAATCAAAGCCCACCTCACAGCAC